TGCTGTGAGCTGTGATACCATGGCACTCTACCGAGGGCGACAAAGTGAAACTCTGTCTTTTTTTTTTTTAAAGTGTAGTGTTGGAATTAACTCCATCTTAAACACCCATGCCCTGGCTGTAGGGTGAAGCCCTTCCTAGGTGGTTTGATGTTTGCAGTTTTGTACTGCATAGTGAAGCCCTGCTTGTACACCCTTCTACTTGCCTGTTTCTGCAGGTGCTTCTCTTAAGGGTAGACACTGGACTGCCAGTATTGGTTTCCTGTGTTCCTTTCCCACTACTCTTTGTAGAAATATGCAGCTTGTATATGTTCTCACATGCAAGTGATAGAATGGCCTTTCACTAAGTTTTGTATAAGGCAAACATGTAACAAGCTTTATTGAAGAAGAGAAGGGGGCTCAGCGCCTGTGGCTCAAGTGGCTAAGGCGCCAGCCAAATACACCTAAGGTGGCGGGTTCGAATCTAGCCCAGGCCCGCCAAACAACAATGATGGCTACAACCAAAAAAAGAAGAGAAAGGAAAGTTTACAGGGTGTGAATGGGTCTACTTTCCCAGGACAAGTAGACAGAGAACCCATATTTTTTTTTTTTTGTTAATGGAACAGACAATAGTAATCCTCTTCAAATACAGCTCCTCTGTTTCCATCCCCCCTTTACCTATACTACCTAGGGTTAGTATTTTGGTAATTTCCTAGGCTTCCTTCTGAGGATAAGGAAGGCTTGTTAAATGATTTTTAACAAGTTTAAGACCTGTGGTTGCAGTGGACTCTCTGCAATGTCTGGGTACATTTTTAAGTGTCAGAACTGAGGTGGGTGCTACTGGCATACCAGATGCTGCTAAACATCCTATAGTGTAGGTGACAGTACTCTCAACAGAATTACCTGGTTTAAAAATCCCCAGGCCCAAGTAGGCTTCTTTGCCTACTTTGGCAGTGCAGGCCCATTTGTTGCTATGGCAAGTATATTTTGCTCTGTAAATTTTCTTACGCTTTATACCTACCTTTCTTTGCCTCAATAAACTTTTCATTTCATGTTTGCCTTAAAACAAATGCCTGTAGTGCAGAGTTTGAGGAACACTGCTTTAGAAGACTGAAATCATGGGCTCTAACCTCCCTAGATTTCCACTCTTTCCTTCCCAGTATAAAGGAAGTGGGTTTAGTAACTTAATAAAGTCCCTTGTTTAGGTTTTATTTTCTTATGGTGGGTGAGGCTTACACATCCAAGTCCCCTGGGGAGGCTGACCAGAAGTCCGGGTGGCTGGGGGCTACTTTTTGTGGGTTCTAGGCCCCGGCCAATGCCCATCCTGTTCCTAACCATTGTCCCTTCATCCCCTTTCCCTGTTGCTAAGGATTACATTGCAGTGAAAGAGAAGTATGCCAAGTACCTGCCTCACAGTGCCGGGAGGTATGCTGCCAAGCGCTTCCGCAAGGCACAATGCCCCATCGTGGAACGCCTCACTAACTCAATGATGATGCATGGCCGCAACAATGGCAAGAAGCTCATGACTGTGCGCATTGTCAAGCATGCCTTCGAGATCATCCACCTGCTCACAGGCGAGGTAGGGCTCTGCGGCCAGTGGGAACAGGCCATGCCCTTACTACGCCCCCGCCACCCCCCAAAGCCTCATGGTATATATGGCGGACTGACCCCCTATATGGTGCAACTGCCATTGTTATAAGGGTGACAAGAATGGGGGAAAGATCTGTGGAGCACAAATGTCAGGCTCATAGCTACCTTCTCTCTTAGAACCCTCTGCAGGTTCTGGTCAATGCCATCATCAATAGTGGCCCCCGGGAGGATTCAACACGTATTGGGCGAGCTGGGACAGTGCGCCGGCAGGCTGTGGATGTGTCCCCACTTCGGCGTGTGAATCAGGTGAACCTGGGGCTTATGCAGGTGGCAGTGTGGAAACAGCCCCCAGGAATGGGTGGAGTCCTTCCTGGGGCAGAAAGACTTGTCCCAGTCTGCCTATTTTACCTAGAGCCTCACTTCCTCCAGGAAGCCTTCCCAGGTTCCCATCCTCTCCAGGGCAGACCCAGGCTCTGCGCTGCCTTCTGGGCTATATTTGGCTGAGGTCTAGTTTCATTTGGGTGTATATTTTCACACATACATGTG